CATATAGCATCTCGACCATGATCCAAAACGGGAGGTACTTCAAATCTGCGACCGGATTGATGAGATTGTGCTGTAGTTTCCCACTGGAGAATAAGTCATCCATGTATGCCTTCGTGGCCCCGATGATATGGTTATGGCGTGTCAGAGCCTTCTTATGTGTGAAGGGCGGGTTGACAACGGTCCTCAACTTGTGGTATCTCTGTCCACTGATGAGACCAACACATTGACCGAGGAGTTCTCCCATTAGCCACCCTGCATCGTTGTTCACTGCCTTGATATGCTTGTCAGAGTCCCAAAATACGGTCTTGACATCAGCAGGATCTCTAAGCACGCTAGAGTGATATCAGCGGACGCCCAAGTCAGTCGGTAGCGAGTAGCCTGTATCACTTACACTTCGGAAGTCATACCACTCCATAACCTATACACTCGCCCGTACCTCATACCCCATTTCTCGCTATTTTCCTCTCCCTCGAGGAATTTTCCGATATCACCTTGGCCATTTGGCCACTGGTATGGACATGTTGGTATCGGCTGGTCACTAGAAATGGACCTAATTGGATATTTCCAGACTAAGAACGACTGGAGAGAATTCAGCTTAGTGAGTTATCGCACAGAGTGAAACAGATAGCAGCCTACATGAATCACACTAGAAAAGATGCCGTGCAACTTCTTACGACAAGTCCTCGCACACAGGACAAAGAGTCCTGCTGCGAAGGAGACCAGAAGTAACGTATCGAGTACGCGGTTACTGCCAAATAACATGCTAATAGATACTCTCTGCAAGTTAAACTGAAGCATCTTGTAGTAATAGTCGATCCGTTCAAGGCTGACGATTGAGGGGTGGGCGTCAGTTAGGAAGGGCATGCCTGAAACCATGTCATACACCGGCTCCCACTCGAGGGACTACGTGTTTACGTACGGGTTTCCAGAATTAACTTCACTTAATTCAGTTCCAAGCTTGGAGTTAAACGCCACTGGAGTGCACAGTGAGCTAGTGTCCGCTTACAAGAACAGGACCCCTAAATTTCATGGCAGCCGGGGAAATTCTTCCCGGATTTATCTCTGAAGTTCACTAGGCCAGTCGTTGACTTCCGGACGCGGCTACCCACCGGTAGCCGAAGTGAGAGGTACACAAAATTCAGACACACGGAGGTTTCTAGCATTTCAATTATTTTTTGCTAGATGCTACGAATCGTGACCATACTTAGGCCCCCTCTCGAGTATTCTCTGCACTGCTGGCCGCGCTAGCATCCTCTCGCTCCAAGCCTGAATGTTCGGCCAGTCCTTAATATCCACTCCCAAGAAATTGAACATCCACGGCATCGCGAATGGGAAGTAGGACAGATCAGCAATCGTGGGGCGATCAGGCAGAGCCACATAGTCCTGCTGTGGCAGAGCAAGCCGCTTATCCAGAATATCCCACTGCTTTAGTACATTTTCATGAAGTCTTCACTGGCGTCAACATTCTGCATCTCCAATTTCGATTGGGTTATCACTCACTTTGCGGTAGTCTTTGGCAAGGACTCGGGATTCTGTCGATTGGGATAGCCCTTGAGGAAATACAGCCAGTACTTCGCTGTCGCGCTACAAGTGAAATGTCAATTATCAAACACCGCGATAGTGCTTTTTTCTCTCTCCCTCTTTAAGTCTACGTACCCTAATCCGGCTGTCTGATAGGATGTCCAAGACAAGATATCGCCTTTCTCTCGCGCGTTTCGGCCTTGCCAGGAGCCGTCCTCGTCGAAGCGCTCGGCGAGGTATTGGAGACAAGCAGTGCTCTCAAACACGATGACCTCTCTGCCATCTTGGGGGTCTTCGTCCCTCAACGCCGGGACATAGCGTTCCGGGTGGATGCGACGGTACCACTCACTCTTGGTGTCGATGACGGAGATCACATGAGGGAGCTGGAGTTCTTCAGCTAGGATTAGGGGCTTGATGTAGTTGATGTAGCTTGTCTGGTCGGCTAAGGTTCGACGTAAGCACTGCCGCCTATTGCGGGCATGGAATAGGTTCTCCTACCCTTGATGATGTACAAGATAACCCGGCCATCGTATGGAAGGTCTCCGGTCACCACCTCCCCGTTTGGCTTGGCGGGCGCCATTTGACAGTATCTCGAGTATGGCTCACCCCGATTGACCCTGCGTTGAATAAAATATGGCTGTGATTTTTATCTCCGTTGATATGCCCATCAAATTCTGAAGCTTAAATGGTTGGCGGAACCCCGGGGGCCGAAATAGAAGCCGGACCCAGCTAGTGCTGAGACGGGAGCCGAATGGCGGGCGCGCAAGTCCTCACCATGGAATTCCGTACTACCGAGCAACCAATGTTGCAATATTCATGGCAAGGTATTGTAAGGGTTATCTAGTAGATTGGTTGTTATGATTTAATTTATTGACGTAGTGATACATTGTCTACAATAGGCATGCATAACTACGTCTACGGTGTTTAGTTGGGGCAGCCTCAAGATCGTCATCCAACAACTTATTGATTTTGGTCTTCGCAGCCCGGTGGTTCTGCACTCGGCAACAATGTGCCTCGATGCTGACTTTGCTCCAATTACCGTGTCGCACACGCTCGGGCCGACAAGTGACGCGATGCGTACCCTTTCTCTTTGACGGTTGGTGTAACTCAGCACGTAGATATGTTAGCCTGCGCCGTCGGCATCTAAACAGGGCCGCCTAGCAGTTAGAAATTCTCCGGATGAAACAACGAGATTCAAATAACTCGGACTCATCGATATTCTCGTGATAAGCCCTACTAATGTCCAATCGGTGTGTTTTTCTCACGGAGCCCGTGGGAGCGAGTTATCTAGGCTACCAAGTTTGGGGATGTTGCCTTTTTTGATGATGTTGACGTCAAACATTTAGCAGACCCCAATCGCTGTGCTCTTGTCCTTCCAGCACCGACTCTCAATCACACTTGGAGGCTACCTCTATTGACGTAAGTACGTTACTAGGTAGGTAAATAAGTAGGTACTTATAGGTCAAAGCCCTTCTGTAGTTGCAACTTTGAAAGACTTGGGGATAAACATGAGCTACAGTCTATACTTGGGTATAAGGTACTGTCTCAAAATTGTAGGCTACCAAGTCCGCTAAAACGATACCTACAGGGCTTGCTCTTCAGGGCTGTTGGGATTGCCTTAGCGGGGTTAGTAGTGGCACTCAATGGCCTTAAACTCTTTTAAGTTTTTGCCTTTGTTTTTTTGCGTGATAGCTATAAATATCAATCTGCATTGCTTATGTATGATATACTAAAGAGATTCTATTTGGATACCGTAGTTCAACAAATAACTTGACAAATCGGCTCGGGTTATTGTATTGCATGGCGACGTCGGCACCTGAAGAAGAGATAACATAACTAAACCCACTGTAGAACTGTTCTATACCAGGTATGAAATTGTCCATTCCAAGTGGCGCACATCAAATTGGGCTTAGCTTGCATACTGCTTTTGCTCAGGCTCGGCTCACCCTATTGTCAGTTAGGTGACTGATTTCAGAACCTTGTCAAGGTTGCAATGCGCCGACCATCCGCTGGGTAGGTACTCCTTATTTCTAACACCAAGCAAGTTCCTAGAAAGTCGCTCGAGTCATACGGTCCTATAGTACAAACTAAAATCCGTTTGATCCTAACAGGTATGTAACCAACTACCGTAACTCACGCAAACGTGCACTTGATAAGTGTTGCCTAAGGCTCGCATCTTCCGGGGGCTAGATAAAATTCAACTTAATCCCCTTCCCACGCCAAGTCAGCCAGAAGCATCTTCTACACCCAACTTAGGCAAGTTCTCAAGATCTCTGTAACCAAATTACCACCGTTGATCCGGTACCCTTCTCTCAGCTCCAGCTTCTCCAAACCTTTTACTATAAGTACAAGCTTAGCCCTATTTAGCCTTTCACTCTTATCTTATACTAATAATAAAAAAACCTTTACTAAGCTATTAGTACTATTTAAGTAGGCTAAAATGTTAGGATAAAACCTGCGCCGGTAAGCTAAAAAGCGTATTATTAACAAAGTCGCTATTTTTAAGTTTGTACACTAAAATACAATTATTCTTATACTTTATATTTGCTACACCCTAGTAGGGGGTGCGCAGATAGATTAGATAAGGCTCCCACCCGCAGGGTGGGGCCCCCCTCCAGCCCAGACTGGATAGATTGGGCTTCGCCCAATCTAGCCAGCCTGGCTAGATTCTTCTAATCGGCATCACTCTTTTACACTCAATACGGCACTACCCCCTGGTACAGCATACCAATATTTTTAGCTGTAGTATTATAAATAAAAGTACTACTATATAATTATAAAGTGCATTAAAAACGTAGTTCCGCTATTTGATTTGTAGTACAAGTATAAACGAGAAGGCTATAAGGCGTTATGTAAGGAATATCTAGATATTGCTATAAAAAACGCGCGCACGTACATTTAGTATGCGCTAAATATACTCGCCGGATTTAATAGCCCGGCCTCGGGGTTCAATAGCATTATAATCCCTCCGCACTTTGTAAAGCAGACTAACAACCGCACAACATAAGGCGTGTAATACGCGCCGTAGAATAAGAAGTTCGTTTTAATGCATAGCAATCTGGGACTCGGTAACGTTATAATTGACTTAACGACACTCGAGTTTAAGTCTATTATTAACTAAGAATTTGCCGGTTTTTACCTGAAGTGGCTTGCTAAAAGCTTTTGAACAGTCGATTAAAAGGAGTACTATAGTTTTTAGAACAAGCTTGGGACGTATATTTAAATGCAAAGGGCTTTAAAGTTATGACCAATTTTACCTGGATAGGGTTTACATGTATATTTTAAAAGCACTGAATACACATTAAGGCTTTTTAGAATCTATATGCCGTAATTAGGACTCTAGAATCATAATTGTACCGTTTTAATTTGTACATAGGTAGGATTTAAGAGTATTAATTGTTCCATGATATTTGTTGTGTAAGGGATCTCTATATATCACATATATATATTACTGTTGGTCTGCGTAGGGTAAATTGGCGGGGCACGTGGTGTAATGGCAACACGCGGGACTCTCATTATCTGGCAACCGAGATGGCGGTTCGATTCCGTCTGTGTCCGTTTTTTTCCTCCACATTCCTTTTCCAGGTCAATGGCAATCCTACTCCTAAATCAATTCCCAGCAGAGCACCACACCTTTCCTTGGCACCCGCTGTTAGTGGCGTGTTAACATTGACACCTGTTTCGTATAGCAGTGCTATTATATACACTTAACAGCTACTAAATCTTCGATTTTCAACAGATAATTCATCCTGCTCTTGACTACAAAAACGACGTAGCGCGCACGCTACGCAGTACGATATAGGCTAGCGAGGTCAAAGCTATTGCTGCGACTTGCCCGGGAAGGTCGTTGCCGCCGACAATTCCATACCTTGCCGTAGAGTTTAATAGTACGAGACAAAAGGGGATGAAAACTTGCCGTATACCCCTTAAAAGCAATAACCCTTACATTACCGACAATAACAAAAGCTCGCAAGCTTTTGCGTTAATTTCGCAAAAGGCGCTATATGTTAGATATTTGAGCCGTGCAAAACACTGTAATAGTGATCACTTGCCACTGTGGTGATAAGATCACCCGATTAAATTAGCTAGCGCCACTAATAAAGCAGTATACTAGCGAAAATCTCTGCAGCAGAGAAAACACACAATGGAACAACACACATGATCACTTCAATTAAGGCTGTCAAGATCGCACACGTGATAAATCCAACACTATACTCTATACTCTATACTCTATACTACGTTTAAACTGCTAGCATAATCACGGCCACTGGTAAAACACGCCCGCGGTACAGAAGATAAAGTACGGTGAACTATCGTTAGGTATAATCGTGGGAAACTGTTAGGTCGCGGTGTACTCGGAATGAGTAAAAGGAATGAACAAACCGCCTGGATACCTTTTAACATAGTGGATGGGAGGAGAAGGGCTCGAAAAGGGTTGCCTACGGGCTTGACTTGTTGGATATCTTATACAGCCCAGCACAGCATATGCCCCTCGGGAGGCCGGCCATGCTGTAAACAATACCACCACCACCAACACCAGCAGAGCACCATGCGCTTCCTAACGTTTCCGGCATGCATGGAAGCCGGAGAAGGTCTGGCGGAAATCGGAACCGGCCTCCGGCCTCTGTTTCTATGCCCTCCTGCCTATAGGCCCTGCGGGTCTTGGACTGCAACTCCACAATAGACTGCAGCGGAGATGTTGGGCTAGATGCAAACCTAGGTAGCTGCTTAGCGGAGAAATAGCTAAGGCACTCAATAAGACCCTGGTGTTACTGTTGAACAATACCTTTATGTTTGTACATTTGGTGAAACCGCAACGATTTGCGATATAACCGACGGGACGCCTATCGATAGCTAGTCGCAGGGTCTGTCAAGGATCTGCGTAGCTATAAGAAAATAATGCGCAATGAATAGGGAGGTAAGGATAAAGAGAGGGAAAGGGATATCAGATTTCTTCTTTGTATCATTAAACCAGCCAACGAGTACAATAAAAAAAAAAAGGCTTGGCCAATGAATATTGCCCGTGAACCTGCCAGAGGCGAGTAGGGTTTCCTAAAACCCAACCCATGGGGGCCCAAGGAAACCCATGGGTTCTTGGCGGGGGCCCATGAAAACCCATGGGCTCTTGGCGGGGGC